GAGGGTCTGGGGCTCCCTGAGCTGGCCTGTCGGGTCCAAGGCACTCATTGAGCGCTTGCTGTGTGTGGCACGTCCCGAGTGCTCCCATCCCACAGCCTTGGGCTCAGATGGGTGCTGCCGAGAACCTGTCATTCTCTGACGAGCAGGCCCAGATGGGGCGCCGGCTGATGAGGGGGGCGGGGGGTGGCCACACTGAGAGTGAAGCCCGGCTTCCGAGGGGGATCTCTGTGTGCAGCCGTCTTGGGAGGGCAGCCTCCTCCTGCTCCCTCCACCCCGGCGGGACCTCGCAGTGACTTCTCACGTCTGGTTTGCGCCTGGAGCAGCCTTCAGCTGCCTGGCCTCTCTGTCACACCAGGAGACTGGAAGTGGCAGTGGGTCCTGGAGGCTGGGCAGTTCATTAGCGGAGAAATTAGATTCCAAGCTGCAGCGCCAGCCACAGTCCTGATGGACGAGGCGGGTGGCAGGTTCCCCGGGGAGCCTGGCCGCAGGTCTGGGCCAGAGGGGACCTGCTTTGGCCTCACGCTGGCCGCTCGCTCACCGCTGGGCCCTGCTGGGCTCCCCTGCTCCCCCGGCCCCCAGGGAGACCCAGCCTGATTGGAGTGGCTGTTCCTCTGGGGAGAGGAGGTTTCTGCAGGGGGCACCCAGGGCCCCTCCCGTGGAAGGGGTGCTCAGGCTGCACCCACATGGCCAGGGTGAGCTGCTTCAGAGCCTTCGTCTTCTCATCTGTAAAGTGGGCGAGAGCATCTTCCTGCCTTGAGCTTCGTCCTGTGCCTGGCCGTGGAGACTGTGAATTCTAGCCCCTGGGGCCATGGAGGGGAGAGGCTCGGTGTGGGGGACCCCTCCGCACCCGGGGGACCCCTCCCCACCCGCCTCTCCCCCGCTGCCTGAGAGCAGCCACAGGCGCTGGGGCTGAGCGCGTGGGGTGCTGAAGACACGACTTCCCTTCCCCCAACTGCTGCCATTTGCTTGTTAAATGTTTATTTCATTAAATATGTAAGAGAGATTAATAACCCCAGGCATCTCCTGAGTCAGGCTTTGGAGGGAGTGAGGGAGTCTGGGCTGCGGGATCGACTGTGGGGGCTCTGCCCCCGCGTGCGCCACGGAACCCTCCTGTGGACCCCCATCAGCCAAGGGGAATTAGGAACCAGGTGGCAGCGTCTTTGTAATGTTTTTCCGGAAAAGAAATATTTCCTGCACTCAGATGGGGGGAGGGAGTGGGAGGGGAGAGATGGAAGCAGAGGGGTCTCTCCTTGGAGGCAGGGGACCCCCCTCCCGAGAGTGCAGGAGCAGGCAGATGCACACCCCCATGCACACACGTGCACCCCAGGACCTGCGGGCCTGGCTGCGGGGTGACCACCACGAAGCGTGTCGTCAGGCCTCGACTGGGGGCTCCTCTAGCTAATGCCCATGCCTCTACCACCCTCGGTCCCTCCCGTCACTTCCCACCTGTCCTCTGTCCCCTCCCTGCCCTGCCTCTCTGTACATCAGAATCCCAGCACTCAGGACTCTCCTGTGCCGCTGCCTGTTTCAAAAGAGGGGTCCCGCCTCTGCTCTGAGCTCAGGCTGCGGCTCAGAGGTCCCTCCTGACTTCTGGCTGAGGTCTCTCGTGCTGCTGGCTGAAGACAGTCCATTTGTTCTGGGTCCCGGAGTGCAGGAGTCAACCCCCCTCGAGGCCACCTGTGAGTTGGGGTGCTCCGGCAGGCTCAGGGCCTGGGTGCGTACTGGGGACGTGGGTTGTTCCGCCGATGCTTGCTCTCCAGGTGGCCTGTCTGCCCTCGCTCAGGTGAGCGCTGGCTGAGGTCCCTCGCCCCCAACCCCAGCCCATCCTGGCCCTGGAATCTGGGGCTGGGGACCAGCTGCTGGAGGTACTTCTTATCTCCTTGGCAACCGCAGCCAGGGAAGCTTGCGACACTGAATTCATTGTCATAATTAGCCCCAGGCTGCAGGAAAACCACCCCGTCCTGCCATCGGAGGTGCCTTCCGCCTCCCTTCTTTCTTTCCTTGCAGCCTGGATGGTTCCCAGGCTGGAGGGTGTGAGAATGGCTCCCCAGGGTCCCGGGGCCTTGGCCCTGGTGTTGGAGATATGTGGCTGTGGCCCGGGTGGTACTGGGAGTTTAACTGAGCCTTGCAGCTAAGGGATGGGGTTCCCAGCCTGTGGGGCCGGTGGAGCTGCTCACATGTCCCCTCTTGGGAGGAAGCAGACCCAGCCCGTGTTCCCCACGCGCATCTCCCCAGCACCTCTCCCAAGGGGGAGGAGAGGAGAAGAGAGGGTCCTTCTGATTCACAGCTGCCAGCACCCGAGAGTCTGTCAGGAGCCGGAACCCAGGATGCCGGGGCTCGCCAGGGCAGGAGGGCCTGCAAGAGAGAAGGCAGGGGTACCTGCCACACTCAACATCCCCGCACGTCTGAAGGAAGCTCCGGGTCTGCCCAGGGCCTGGCGTGACTGCAGCCGGTGACCCTGCGATGGGATGCAGGGCTGCTGGTCATTGTCCCCCCCATCGTCCTGCGGGAGGGTGGCGCCTCGAGTCTGAGCAAGCCCCCTCCCCCGGCTCCCTGGGGCTGGACCCCAGTGAAGTGTCCCCCGTCCCCGAGGATGCTGTGCTCGGGGACCGTGAGGCCAGGAGCAGAGCCCCCTACCAGCCTCGCGGAGCCTCAGTTTCCCCGTCTCCGAGATGGGCATGCGTGTCGGATGTCTTGGGGGCTGGGATGCTGCTGTGTGCCGGGCAGGGCTAGTCTCTGGTCACGGAGGCACCTGCAGACAGGAGGCCTGGAAATAAATGTATTTTCTCCGTTGTTCAGGGGCTGGGAGAGCGGCTGAGGCGTGGAGGGAATAACTAGTGTGGCGGTGTTTCTCTCTTGCTCCGTCGGGTCCCCTCTCTGGGCCTGGCGGCGTGGCTAACGTGTGGGTGCCCTCTCTCCTTGGGGGTCCGTCTGTCTTTGCTCTGCATGAGGCTGCCCCGTCTCTCCTTCCTCCTCCTCACCCGCATGGGCATGCCGCACCTCTTTCCCGAGTGTCCGGCCTGCTGCCTTCCCTGCGCCCCCCACCCCCTGGTGCTGTCTGTGGTTGTCTGTTGCCAAAACTTCAAAAACTAAGCTTGGAGTGGCCCCAGGGAGGGTGGGCTTCTCTGAGGAGTCTGCTCCCCTGTGCCCACTGGGCATGTTCCCAGGGCGGGCCGCGGATTTGTCTGCTTCTGAGCTGCAGGCGTGGATGGACGTCGGGTCACTGCCTGCTAGGAATGGCTGCACATCCGTACAGCATGGCCGGGCCGTTCCGGAAGGTTCCGAGATGCCGAGTTAGAGCTGCCCTAGGGAAGCAGGGCTAGAAGTGGTCACCTTGGGACCTGGGCCTTCTCTTCTTTACTTTGGAAGAGTGTCTTTATACAGCGTGAGGAGCTGAGCTCCGTGGGTGCAGCCTCAGACTCAGAGTCTCCCCCACACGGGGATGACCCATTCTCCGCCCTCTGCTGGTCCCAGGACGTGTCGTCCTTTCCCCCTCTGGACCGCCCCCTTGCGCTGCCTGTTCCCGTCTTGTCCCTGCCAACTACTCTTCACCCTGCAGGACCCGTCCTCGTGGACACCTCCTCAGGGAAACCCACTGGATTTCGTGTCTCCTCTGGGAGCTGAGCCGGGTCTGGGTGCCGCTTCTGTGATGGGCAATGGTTCCAGTCTCTCCCACCGCCCAAGCCTCCGGGGTTCTGCCCCGCAACCCTAGATTCTCCCCGAACTCCGTCCTGGCAGACCCACTCTGTGCACGGGCGCTCCTTCCCCACTGAGTCGGGAGCAATACTACCAGACGGACAGAGGACGAATATAAGGCACACGCGATATCTGGGCATCTTTTCCCAGGGCTCAGTTAATTGAATAAATTGCCTAATGAGCAAAGGAAATTAATTGTGGTTTTGAAATGTGACCGTTTCTCCGCGGGCGTTTGTCTGTGCCAGCGGGCACTGCCGCGCCTTCGTGTCCGCTGTCGGTGCCTCTGCCTGGGGCTGGGAGCGCCCTGGGGACGTCTTCACGGGCCACGCTCCTGGGGGGCTCTGGGGGTCTCTGGGTGCCTTTGCCAGGCCTCTTGGGGTGCACGGGGCAGGGCCGTTGGCGGTGCCTGGGATCTGGCTGAGGCTCGGAGTTCTTGGTGCTGAGCGACCTCGGTGCAGCCTGGGCTTGTGTGCTGGCAGGACAGGTGGCCCGGGCACAGGGCGGACCACGCAGCATTGGCCCCGACATGTCTCAGCGCCCCCCTGGGAGGCCGGTGGAGCTGGAGTGACGCGGTGTCCAGGGTGCTGATGACACGGGAGGGGCGTGGTGTCCAGGGTGCTGATGACACACGGGAGGGGCGTGGTGTGGGCCCCGTCCAGCTTCCTCACACCATGTGCTTTCTGCTTCTCAGGAGCCCTGGACCCCATCTTCAGCCACCAGGGGCTCTATTCCCGGATACCCCACACCCACAGACACTCTGGCCAGAGGGTCGGATGGGGCCTTGGCCTCCACGCTGGCTGCACGGCTGGCCTCCACGCTGGCTGCACGGCGGCTCCCGGTTACCGCTGGTTGGGCACTGACAGGGCCCTTGGGGCCGCACAGCACAGCCAACAGACGCAGGGCCAGTGGGCGAGGGCGCTGGGGCGGGTGTTTGTGAAGGCTGGTGTTGATCGGGAGACGGGAAGGCTTCCTGCCTCTGAGCCTAGAAGGAGAGAATGTTCCTCGGACGCCCTCCGTGGGGTGGGCGCCTGGAGTCTGCTCCTTTCTTGTTCTCGAAGCGTCCAAGAGGCAGGCTCCCTTCCCTCTTTACTCTCAGAGTCCTGGGTACTTCCCCAAAGCACGAGCCTGTCTAGTGGGCGTCCTGGAGAGCATCGGGCGGCCCCAGGCATCACGTGGAGCCCTGGGGGGTGGCTGCTGTTGTGTCCCTTCTCCTCTGCCCTGGTGGAGGCCGTGGGGCTCTGCTCTGCAGACGCAGCCCTGGGCCCTGGCTTTGGTCCCCCTCCATCCTCTCCCTCGTCCTCCAGGTTCCTGCTGGTCTTCTCCTGCCTTGTGCTGTCAGTGTTCTCCACCATCAAAGAGTACGAGAAGAGCTCGGAGGGCGCTCTATACATCCTGGTGAGCCCTGCACACAGGCGGGCTGGGGAGGAGGTGGAGGTGGTGGATGGCCGTCTGTCCCCCGTCCCAGACCCTGCCCACTGCGAGCCTGGCAACCCCCCACGGGGACCCCCGTCTGCCTCGCACCCACTGGCCCTGCTCGTCTTTCTAGCCTCCCCTCCCGGCATTGGTGACGTTGCAGTGTCCTCAGCCCCCACCTGCCCCTCCCACTAACACCTCGCCCGGACCGGCCCCTTCCTGTGTCGTCTCAGTGCCTGGCGGCCCCACCCCATACCACACGCCCGTTCCCACCGCCCATTCTCTCCAGAGCCGAGAGGAGGTGTGGGGTGTCCCTGGCAGACGTGGGCGCCAAGCGAGGGTTGTGAAGTTCAGCAACCCTGTGATGACAGAGGCGGGCGCCATGGCAACCACAGTGTAATTTCTGTGTTGCTATTGGTGACGGAGGGGCGGCCCCTCCAGGAGGCTGATGCTGAATCCAGAATGCCCCTCGGGGAGCCCCTGCCCTCTGTACTGGGACAGAGTACAGAGTACACCAGGCCGGGGGTGCCACACCTCCTTTGCAGTCACCTGGGACCCTCCCTCAGCTCTGCCTTCCATGTTCCCCACACCAAAACCAGCTCACACAGGACAGGACGCCTCACACCACCTCCAGCTCTCACAGGACAGGACAGGACCCCCCGCACCAGCTCACACAGGACAGGACAGGACCCCCCGCACCAGCTCACACAGGACAGGACAGGACCCCCCGCACCAGCTCACACAGGACAGGACAGGACGCCCCGCACCAGCTCACACAGGACAGGACAGGACCCCCCGCACCAGCTCACACAGGACAGGAGAGGACCCCCCACACCAGCTCACACAGGACAAGACAGGATCCCCCACACCAGCTCACACAGGACAGGA